TAATACTAAGTAAAATTAATGTGGACCATTACTCAAGCTAATGATGATAAATCGAAAACCACCTTTTCGACGTTCACTTAACTTTACGTGTAAATCTTAACGCCAATTTATCAGAACAAAGATCGGTTCGTTACAATTACTGTAATTTAAAATTCCTAGCTCTCCTAACTTACTGGCCAAAATTAAATTTACTACAATGTTAATATTAAAGAGATCTCGAAAAATTATTTAAGATGGATCTACTTATTCTCTATGCTTTGATTATAAGAACGCTTATTTATAATTCCATTTTATTTTATTTAAACATTTAATTTACTTTCTCAATCAACATCATTCCAATCTATATTAGTTAAATACACATTTTTAATACAAAAATTAAAATTGAAACTCAAAATTTTGTGTATCTTTAGTTATAGTCGACTTAACTAAATCAAGTATGGCGCCAAAACAAACGTTATAGTATAGTGGTGTAAATGTAAACAGTTTCATTGTCAACAGAGTCTATTAATTAAATGGCCGACTTGTACCGACGTACAAGTGGGGGCGATAAAATGTAAACACTTTAACGACCATACAACAAATAGCAGCAGTATAACATGAGGTAACTTTTAACAATAGTTCATCAAACTCTTCACCTTTAAGAAAGTAAAACAAAGCTCTCTTATCTTACGTATACAGGGTGTATCAAAAGTATATTTTAAAGCCGAAGGATAAAAGGCTTTGTGGGAGTTAAGGACTTCAATATTTATCATCTAATCCCAGTCATGTTTAGGTATTTAGTTTACAATTAATCTAAAGATATTTTTTTTTATAAAAAATAATTTAACTGTAATCGGCCCGTGTGTCCAGAAAACTGTACTTTTACAAAAATGCTTGATATGTCATCATTCAAAATTGATCCAGGTACTCAATGTAGGTTTATATAAAAAGGAAAAAAATAAACATTCAAGTCTCAAGGCAGTAAGGACGTTAGGGCAGGGCCAGGTGTGATGACCACCTAGGGCGCTGAAATTCTAAAACCGGCCCAGTCTCTAGGCTATGATGTATCAGTCATTCGGTTTATGCTTTTATAAGTATTCTATTATTTGAAGAATACAGCAAAGTTTTGTAATTAAAATTTATTAAAATGAACATACTTTGTTGTCTATATGAACAAAGGTATTATATCAAGACTAAAGTATCCCACTAGAGTTAAGCGTACTTGTTTAAGTTAAACATTTGTGTATGTGTTTGCTTATGTTACGTAATAATATCAAGCATAACATTTCTGTGTATTGTACAGTTACACACTTTTTAGTACACAATCTTTAAGTACTTTTTTAGTAACATTTAACTTCTTCAGTTATATACGTTAAATGGACTCCTTGAGTTAATTTTCTATTAACTTCATTTCATGTAATAAGCTGACAGTAACCGTTGGCTTCTGAAATCAAAATCTCTGTATAAGCATATCGTTATCCCTGTCATTATATTTGACAAAACAGAGTTAACGATATGTTTTAAAACAGGATTTTGGTCTTTGTAACCCGTGATAAGTCTGTTATATTTTATGCCACCCAAGTACGATGTATAATAAGCACTCAAGGTAATTTATATTTCATATCGTTGGTTTCTGAGACTAGGATCCTATAAAAACAAATCGTCATTCCTGTCATAATATTTGACAAAACAGCGATAATATGTTTTAAACAGTAGTTTATACTCAGAAACTCACGATAAATATTAGAAAACTAGATTAAGGTTTGTCATTTTGTAGATTGTCTTGTTTTATTTTATTTTTCTTCTATGTTGTATAATGACTAACATGATAAAAGTATTTTTCATATTTAAAAATAATTCTTAAGCAAAATGTGAAGTAGCTATTTATTTCTTATTCATAATTAATTAAACGAGGAGTGTTTTGAGTAAAAATATTAACTTTCTCGACTTTAAAGGAGATTGTATAAGAAATATAAATTAAAAATTATAAAGTTAAAACGTTAATCCTTAAAGCCCGTGAAATTCTTTGAGATATGCTTCTTTGGATAAGCTATTGTTTTTTTAGGTCAAAGTCATCTGCAAACAGAATTAATTTTTTGTTTACCTAGGATACTTCAAAGCTTTTGTATAAGATACTGAGAAATATTTTTAGAATCCCAATTTTATCTTATTTATTGTCAATGTACCTAAATAAGTAGCAAATTTTCTGTAGGTTTCTAAGATCAAAATTCTCGCCTAAAACATATTGCTATCTCTGTTTTGTAAAAGATAATGATAGGGATGACTATATGTGATGTACAGAGATTTTCATCTCAGAAATCAATGGTCACTATTTTTAATTATTAATTCAAAAGAAATCGGTTTTGTTCATAAAAATACATTTCTAGGGTTCCGTACCTCATATTATTATATAAAAACGGAACCCATTATATGATCACTTTGATTTTTTTCTCATCGAGACATTCAAAACTACAGATTTTTGTAAATGATATAAAATATAACAGGAGTAGAGAGTAATAGATAAAACTAGTAACAACCTAGCAGTATAGGATAGAGGTAGGTAATTATAGGTAGGAGCAGTTTTAGTTCGTTTTTGTAGTAAAATCACGTAATACTGTAAAAATAAAAGCTGCCATCTATTGGTTGGTTCACGAAACCATTACCCTGAAATACAGTAAGTCTAAAACATTTGTAATCGTTAGTACTGGGTTGGAATTATTCCAGGTTTAAATGTAAACTAACAGATGGCAATGAAAAGAAACAAAAAATGTTTTGATATATTTTAATAATTTTAATGAAAATCCAATGTAAAATATATGTATGTTTAATGGAATAATTTATTTATGTATTAAAGTACAGTCAGCTGCACAACTATGTGTACATTTTCACGCTTCAGAAACTTGTATACGACTTTGGCTTTAGACATTTGTATGCTTGTATCCGTTCTTATGCTTCCGACCATGATTACATTCTAATAAAGAATACGAGTATACTTATTTTTGAAACCATATACACAAATTTGTAAAGTTTTGTAAATTTATACATATTTATGCAACTGATTGTACAGAAATTGTATGAGTGGTCAGGTCAAGTCAAGGTTTTAAAATGTTTCCATTGTATCGAATCCTTTGTATGCTTAAATTATTTACTGTAAATGTGTGAATCTTACTAACATTATAAATGCGAATATTTAGACGAGTGGTTGGATGTTTGTTTAAAGGTATCTTCAGAACACCTGAACGGTTCTCGATGAAATTTGGCATACATATAGGAGCATAGTCTGGAAGAACACGTAAGCTACTAATTATGTTTTTTTAATTCCGCGCGGACAGAGTCGCGCTTGACTTTCAAACACAAAATATTTTTTTTGAGTTGGAATACTTGTGGGTTTATACAGGGTGGCAAAAACATGGAAGTGGATTTAAGGTGGTTAAAGTAATAAAGTTATAATAAGATCATGTCGGGGAATAAAACAATAATTATTTAGTTAATTAACTATTTATATATTTCCATAGTATCTCTTAAAGTTATAATCTATAATGTTCTAACGCTCCGCGCTTGCAATATTTGGTTTAGGTCGAGAAAAGACGAATTAACAGTAAATTTTTTATCATTTAACTTAATCTTAATCAACAGTCGAACAATTCAAAAGGTTACATTTGATAGTAAATGTAATATTAGAAATTAAAGTTAGTGTGTTCCGTTAGTTAAATCAAGAATACTGTTTCTTCGTTTCTTTATCGTAAATGTGATTTAAAAGAACTACACTATCATAGTGGGGAATGTTAACTTTGGCATAAAATATTAATTACAAACAACAAAACATATCAAAAACTCAAATACACTCGAGAAACGACGCTTAAATTAAACATAAATTAGAAAATACTGTTTAATTAAATTAGTCTAAGTCCAGTTAAAATATATTTACAATAACTGGTGAACTTAAGTAAAAGGAAACAGATTTGCCTTTCCTAGAAATAGGAAATTGCAATGAAATAATATAATATATAAATGTATGTATATAATATAATGTATACTGGGATAGTATTTATACAATATTATAAAATAGAAATTCTAATACATAACAGACTATAGAATTGCGCCTATTAACATTTACTAATGCACCATATATGAAAAGGCTCTACAAGTCAAGGCTAAATTTCGTAGGTACCGTTAGTTGATTTTTTTTTGTATTTTTCAAATAACTATAAAAACTATACATTGAAAAATTTCCACTAGTATTTTTGAAATAATCATCTCTAATATTTAAATCAAATATCAAAATTTTTAAGATCTATTTTTTTCGATCAACGCGAAAATTTACCAAACTATTTAGTACCAATCTAAAGTATATGGTTAAAATTTCTAAATATACATCAAAGATTTCTTCATTTACATTATTTATGCGCATAGAAATGTCGTCTACTTCGAGATTTCTTTTTTCTTTAATACACAATCATTTCTAGAAAGTTTAATTTAAAAAGACAAAACACTCCTTCATTTGTTAGCGAAATTATCACACCATGTATTTACTACCGTAATATATGTTTGAAAACATATTGTCATCCCTTTCATTATCATTAAACAAATAAAGACAACAATATGTTATACAGATTAGGGCAGTTGCTTTCACGATAATTTGAACTAAATCTGTAATTCCAATATTAATTTAGGTACAACATAGAAGAGTCGAATCAAATTCTCTCTAATAACTATTCGAAGGTAAATAATATATTCATAGCATTTCAATCAGTCAAGCAAAGACGTAAGCTATATAATTATCGATTTAAATGCAAAATGATCAATACATACATAAATTGCACGTCCAAAGTCTACACATATCCAATAATATACATTATTGAGATAACAGGAATGTATAGATTCGGCAAACTTTATCATTGCATACAAATCAAATTATAATATATACGTAAAACTACGTAAAGTATTGCAAATTAAATATTGCACAATCATTCTCAGATATCAAGAGAAAATAGGGTTTCTACCAACTTTACTATATATTGAAGATTTTTTAAACGTACGAACACACTGCCGACACATCACCTTGGAACAAATATAGTTTCTTTTCAAAAGATAATTATGTTTCGTATGATTATCTCGAATAAGTGAACGTACGTTTAGATAAAACTTGGCACGTCAGCGACAAGAGTACTTTCTGTCCGGCGTGCCAACTCTAGCTCAGGATAGGTAAACTGTTGTAATTGTCGCTCTAAGCGGTGGAGTCATGGGACGATGGGTTCGGTATGATGGTGCTCTGGTGATCGCGGATTTTCCTCATTTCCTTGGACAAGGACATCAACTCGCTCTGCAGTTTGATCTCCCTCTCCCGAAGGCATTTTATCTCGTTTTGCCATGTCTGAAACAAAGATCATTTTATTTAATTTTATTGATTTTTTGCATACTTTAATATTCTACGGGTTCTCCGTAAAAATTCCTTCTGTTAGAAGAAAAGTGTTTATTTTACAAATATTGTGGAACTACAAATTTTAGCATAAAATGTGCGGATATATCCGTGTCTGAGTCAACAACTACCCTTTTCCACAAAGATCAATTTAAGATAAAATTTTGTTCCAATAATCTTTTCGGTAGCGAAGTGGACGTAAAACTTACAATATTTTGTTTCAAAAGGTCGAGCTTGTCGTTCTTGAGACGGCACACCTCCTGGCGGAGCAGGTCGATGTCTGCGCGCGCGCCCGCCTCCCCCCGCGCCGCGCCCGCCCCGCACCCGCCCGCGCCCGCCTCCGCTGATGACATCGACTCGAGACCAGTGTCGCTGTCCACGTATACTGGTGTACCTAAAATGTTAATAAATCAATAAAAAAACTAGAAATATATACACTACATATATAAATAATCGTATGGACATTTATTTTGTATATGTATGCGTACCATTTTTCAATCATATAGCCATTTATCCCAAGACTGAATATTGTTTTCAGGCGCAACATTGATTTAAGATATGAGACTAACTATGGGATAAGGGGTTGATTAGCCCAAGACTAGAAAATTTATAATAGGTTTTGAACCTTTACAGAAAAAGATCTTTTTAAAGGTATGAGTTTTATAGACCTTTTTATAAGTTTAAAATTATAATCATATTCTTTGGTCATTTAATCATTTATGATTTATTTTTGTAATGATTGAACGATGATTTAATAATTATATAAAATGTAGAATGAAGTTATATATCACATATGAATGATATTACTAAATGAACTACGATTCCAAGCGATATGTTATATATATTCATGATTATATAAATGGTATATGACAGTGACATATTAAAGCTATTTTAAGGACTAACCTGTTGCGCCTTTACCACAACTCAGCCAGTCCTTGTCGTCTAATTGAAAGGAAAAAATATGTATTTTAATTTATATACTAAATATAAAAATATAAATATCATTCTACAAAAAATATAAGGTAAAAGGTAACTTATAAAGGGTAAACTAAATGCATGTTCAATCTAAAGGTAGGTCTATGTTTTGTGATGTGTTTGTACACAAAAAAAATACAACAAAAAGAAAATACGATGTAAGTAATGCGTTTTTGTTAAAGTAAGGGTTTAATAGCACAATAAATGTATAAATTATATTTTATTTGTTATCAATAGTATAAGATCCATTTTCCATTAACCAACTTTCATCGGGACTTTGGCTGAGCACAATTGTGATGTCTACGGTAGATGCGCCAGAGGAAATTGTGTAAACAAGGCTCAAACGAATAACAATCGTGATAATGGAAAATAGGTCTTAATGTAAAGTTTTATTAAGGTAGACTTTCGTATGTCTCACCGAGCGGGTCGAGGTCGACGGAGTTGAGGCTGGAGTCGTCGCTGTGGTCGTGGTGTGGGCGGGGCGGCGCGGCGCGTGACGTCACGTCGGGGCTGGAGCCGCCCGAGCCGCCCGCAGACCGCACCGACACCGCGGAAGCAGACGACGACGCTACTGACGTCTTCGAACGACCGCTCTGAACATAACGCTTATCATCAATTTACGGCTAACGTCGGACATACATTTGAAATAAATGAAAAAAGCCATAGAACTAAATAGATCTTACGACCTAACAAGTTACAGTGTTAGAAACTGTTTTTTTTTTTATTCTATTAGAACTATGTATCAAAGCTTAAGACATATGACTGATCAGATGGTCTACCAGGAATACTCGTGAGAACATTTTCGTAACATAATCGAAAAATTTGTCTTAAAATTTGTGCAGCGCCCCCTATTGGGCGTAAAGCACGCCAACAAATCTTATAAAAATGACATATTTTATGGATGATGTTATGAAGGCATGTATCGCTTATATTCGTGCTAGGCCCTCTTCAGCTATAACCAGAATAGCTCGTTCTGTTTATAAAACTTTAGTAAAAAAATTCTGTAAACACTTACGTTTGGGGTAGGTGTATCGTGTATATTGATTTTCTTGTTAAGTGACCCCTTCGTGCTGTCCCCAGATGGGTCACTTGGTGATCTGAAAATTGAACAATAAACAAATATTAACATTTCTGATAAAAACAACAATCCAATTGAACAAATTTGAGTAATTCCTCGGTGCACTGACTACATTACAAAAGGATAGAAACTTTAATATTATTACGATGTCAACTGTCTTCTAGTACAAAATTATCTTATTCGAGAAAACACGTGTTAGTAAAAGCGTCTGGAAAAAATAAAATTTTATTTCTCTTAAACTACAAATGTTAATCAACAACCAATGCCTGAACTAACCTGCCTTTGTAAATTGCTTTCTTCACAGTCTCGATAAATCTGGCGCCCGGACCGTCCAGCTTCGGAGTACCAAACCCCTCCGGTTGCGGGGACACCGCGACAGGTTCACTTCTCACCCCCGTACCAAGAAACTCTATCGTTTTGCTCTTCAAATCTTCTGCTAAGTTCTGCAGTAAAGAAGCCCGCGTTCTCAGTTCCAGTTGTGCGAACTTAGCGGCTTTGTAGCAGGCGTTCTCTGCATTGATGAGCTTGGTAAGGAGAAACTCTTTGAATTCACGCCCCTTGCGGAATACAGACGGCTGAGGGAGAGTCGGCCCGAAGAATGGGACATCCTCACGCGCGGTGACGGCCACTTTGTACCTAAAAATCAAATTAAAGAATTTAATTAATCTTAATTTTCTGATCTAATCAAAAAAAAAATATTACTTTTAATGTATGAAAGGATCTATAATTTAACACAAGCTTGCCAATTTTAAGATGCAAAATAGCATATTATCTTGTGAGAAAAATAGTTATAAAACGCAATAAATTTTTGGATTAATGAATGTAAAACGTCAATCAACAGAATCAACCTCGAGGGAATATGAACTGGCAGATTGAATACCCGTATATTCGGCCTATTAAAAAGCAGCCTAATTACAAAGTCGCGTTTCGTTTGCATATAAATTACCAAGAGAATTTCCATTCTCTTTTCCGGGCAATTCTCCCGACACTAGATGCAAATAGTGCCCCCGTGCGCCCTCGTGAAGTTACACAAACTTTATGCAAAATTTGACAAGTGTACAAGAGAGAGTAAGCGATGGAACTAAACATACAATTTATAAAGAAACTGCATTATAAAATTTGAATAGTATTAAAGATAATTTGCATCTTTAGCTTCACTTTTTCCACTTAATCGTTGTTAGCCGTGTAAATTAATTATGTATCTACCTGGTCTCCCCGCCGTTCGACTCCAGAGGCGTGACCACGATGAACGCGTGGAGGAAGTGCGAGGCGATCATATCTGGAGTAAAAGGTGTCGCTTTTTCCTGAAAATTACATTAAACATAATGTAATATTAATAACAGCAACAGCGTGGATCAGATTCACAAAGTAAGTACGGTTGCAAACATCACAGAGATCATCCAGTACAATAAATAAAGAGTTAGGGCGATTGTGATTTAGAAGGAAATCACAATCCATCACTATTTGCGGGAACAATGATGTCCTCTTACCTGGAAGACGAGGGCAACAATGTCGTTGCCGACGTGTCGCTTGCGCTGCAACTGCTGCGCGTCGCCCGCCGTGTGCGGCAGCAGCGGCGCCACGTGGAACATTATCTGCCGCTCCTCGTGCCGCTCGTAAACCGCCTCTGAGCCTGTGTGCCCGTTCTGGATGTCTAGCCCGCCACGGTACCCTACCATAAGACCAGAACGCTAGGATTTCGAACTTCACATCGATGTGATAAACTAATGCCAATGAAAAAAAAACTGAGCTATAATGTAAAAGTACTGAATTCTAAACTAATTGTCGCTGATGATAAAGTTAAGAGTTCACATTAATTATTTTAACGTAGTCAGACGTCTTATACCATGAACCTTACGTTATTTATCATAGAAAACTTTTTTTTTACCTTTATGATCTTTCAATTTAATCCGCTGTCCTAGCATTTCGAGGAACTCGTCGAAGACGGGCGACGTCTCGTTGTTCCCGAAGAGTTCTTCCTCTGTAGTCTGTCCGTACTTCTGGTAGAGAACGCCGAACTTAAAGTTGTTGACGAGCACGTGCTCGTCGTAGGTAGCAATAAGCGGAGACGCGCTCAGACACGTCACCGCCATGAAGTTGTCGACGTTCACTTGTTCGTTCAACATCTTTGCCATACGAGCTGGTGACGGTATTATACCAGATCCTGAAATTGCCGTATAGCAAATATTAGTATTTATAGTTCACTTTTTTATCGTATAAATGCAGACAAATATACGGTTGTTTTGCAAAAATTGGAAGTGATCGCACTCTACAGATATCTGCAACAAGCAAAAGTGTTGCTGATGTGTTGTCTTCTTTTAATGGAAAAGCAAAGGGGTATAAATAATTATAATTTTTAAATATTAAGATTATCGGTAAATCATTGTCTTCTATCTTATTAGATAATCACAATTATAAGTGCACCACAAAAAACATCACCCTATTTGTCGGGAGACAGTTTTAAATAATTTTGTAATATACTAACTTGTTGTAACTGGTATGAGTCCGTGCATGGTCTCTGTTCGCAGCCGCAGCAGTATCCGCGTGTGGTCCTGCCCCGCCATATGCTCGTTCTTCAGGGACATCACCACCGGGCTCTGGTTCTCGTCGAACCCAACCAAGTTTATGTGTTCCTAGTAGCATGAAATAAGAAAATTATGAGTAAGATTGTTTTTTAAAACGCATGCAGCATGCATAAATATCATGGTTATCTTCGTCAGTTTCTAAACTGTCAACAAATTATGAACAAAAGAAATCACAGTTTCTCAAGTTCATCCAAAATTTTCAACAGTTCCTTAAGATCATATTAAACTGTCAAATTGTTTTGTCTAATTCTATTTAAAGTAAGGTTAGACCTGACATTATTTGACAGATTTAAAATTAACGAATTTCATAATCATAATAAAATTTCATATACAAAGACAATTTTCTAATACATCATACATATATTACTAACTAACATTGTAATAAATAGTAAATAAAGGTGGGCATAATAGCAATGTTTTTGTGCAAACCATCATAATGTCGTTGCCAATTAGTGTGACAGGCGAGGCAACCATTCCAATTTCCGTCCATAAGGCATATTACATGTTTGTCCAGTGTTTACTATAGGACTTATGTTATAAATGAAAAATTAAAACAGATAATGCAAGACTCTAATAATGTAAACAAATGACGTAAAGAAATTCCTTAATTGAAATAAGTAAAAAAAATATTTGTAGCAACGATGTTTTTAGGGTTCCTAATTTAAATCTACATACTTGAATTTGGAGTTTAGTATTATAGTATTTCGCAAACATCTAAGCTTATGGATAGAACAACACGCCTAAAAAGACATGATTAGTCATACATAGCCTGAAAAATATAACCATAATCCAAATTAATATTTCAAAACAGGAAAATCGTGCAATGATCGTTTTCATATGTAATTAAAATTTATCAATATTTAAATAAAACGAGTACAGACTTCCCTTGTGTCTGTCAACAAGTATTAAGGAAAAACATGTTTAAACATATGTAAATAGTTAATTATTGGAACATCGAGACCTATTTTAAAAACCTTTTAAAGATAAACAATGTTAATTTGGAGTACATTTTGAAACCCATGATAAGGACAAATCTCAATATGTAAGTTATTACCATTTTAAGCATGTACTAAAAGGATAATTGCAAATAACATAAATTTGTAGAATTATGATATATTAGCTTTTGCACCGTCTGCACGAAATTAAAAAAAAAAATATTAGTAGTCAATTTTTAGGGTTCCGTACCTCATAGGAAAAAAACGGAATCCTTTTAGGATCTAGGTCTGTCTGTCAAGACCCTTTTTCTCAAAAACGCGTGAAGTTATCAAGCTGGAATTTATTTAACAGATCACGAAGAAATTAGGTATACATATAGAACAAAGTCTGGAAGAACACATAGGCCAGTAATTATATATTTTTTAATTTTGCGCGGACGGAGTCCCCGGCGACAGCTAGTGTAAACATAAGACAAGTAATTACATGTTTGAGTTGTATTTAAGATAGTTATAATTGGTTCCAAACGGTACAGACTTACAAAACATTTTTATCGATTTTATCATTTATGTCGTCATCCCTTAAACTACGAGTATGTATATCAGTTTACAAAGCGGGAATTTGCAGTATCTGACAAATGTTTGTTTCAATTACAATGTAGGTGGGTCGTTTATTGGCCATATCAGTTGGTACCTCATCAACAAACCGGTGTATGATATCACCACTTACACTATTAGCTCTGATTCACTCAGAGATTGCGTCGTGTGGTTAATTATGTTGTGTACTTTTAAAGATCCAATTGTGCGAATTGTCTCTATAGTTCTATTTTTTAAAGCCCTAATTACGTTTTACACAGCGTGTAATGGACGAGAGATTATCTCTTCACTTTAAAATGGTTAACAAAATAATCTTTCACAGAAGTAAAAAAATCGCTAATTTGGACGTGGAACTTTTTAATGTACCAGAATATGGGTACTTCTTTTAACCAATTCACAAATTTAAACATGTTGAATAACATTTAACATTAAAAAGTTGTTATTCAACATGTTTAAATTTGTGAATTAAAACATATGCGGAAAAGAACATGTCATAAATAAATGCATTCTAAAATATATTTTTCCAACATTCTAACATTAACCATAATACTGAAACAAACGATTAAGTACATTTCCAGTGCTCTTTATGTCTGTAGAAACACAAAGCTACCAATGAAGGAAATAGTAATTAGTTTTGCGCTTTGTTTTATACGTTGACCTCAACCAACTCATTATTAAAGTACACGGTTGAAGGATAGGCTATTGTAATGGCGAATAAGTACTGTTGACAGATTAATAAAACGAAGCATAATCCAATTTACAACATTAATAGTACTTTTTAAAACAGTAATAAAACTTTTCTATAATAATAATTATTGAACATACTGTATTTATATGATACACTATATTGTGCTTTTTCTAACAACAACAAAAGACATTGTCAACCTTTGCCTCAACAGTGGGTCGGCACAGTATGAACACTTGCATCTATACCACATCTGAATTCAGTCCCTTCTTACGCATATTCTCTTTCATACAGCCCATCCGATTACAAAAGTATCACAAGAATATTGAAGATCTCCGTAAATTATTTCAGTTACCACGGCTTTCTGACACCGGAATACTCTTTTAAAACATATTGTTATCTCCGTTTTGTCAAAGATAATGAAAGGGATGACGATAGGTTATATATTGGTCTCAGAAACTAACGATTGGTCTTAAAAGTGAATTCGTATTTCATTTGTTATTATGAGGGGCCTAAGAGTCTGTTGTAAGAATACTTTTGTGTTTCTAGTTACTTCTTACGTTTTAAATATAAATTCATACCAAAGTAAACAATGGTTATTGGCATTTCATTATGGATTACGCTTTTTGTAATCTATTTGATTTGCAATTAAGTTTCTGTATGTGATAAAAGAGTTGCAGTTAGTCCTGAAGTGAGCGTCATTAGCTCTTCGTATGTTGCCAGGAACTCATTAGCGACTAACCAATTAAATTAAAACCATTAAGCTCTTGAATTATCGATTGCTTGCTTGTAATGATAATTACTGAATCTACGTAATGGCTTCATTATTTTATAGTAAGAACTCTACAAACTAATTAATACACTATTTAATAAACGTTTAAATTGGTGGTATACTACGAAGAAAAAGAAATCATCATAGCTTTGAATATTAAGGAATATATAATATTTATGTATAGCGTAGTACCATAAAACTAAACATTTCAAAATATAAACTTTTTTTTTGTTATTATTATTATTCGTATATTTTGTTGCCTGCCAGCATGTTATGGGACATGTTCAAAAGAATGAAATTCCCTAAAAAATGGAGAGAAGAAAAATTGTGTACCGGTTAGGTTAGGTGTTATCTTTATTAAGAAGTGATAAAATTTATAAAGGAAGAAAAAATCTTTGTCGAAAAATGTATATTAGTATTGTAACTTTCACATCACCGCTCAAACATCAAAGATTGCCAGTCATCGTATTGAAAATGCCAAATTTATCGGCTGTCCTTTTTTCATGGGCCACAAAGAGGCAAATTGAAGGCTAAAGACGGTAATTGAAGGGGCGAGGGGTTAATGCCTCTTTTTCAAAGCTCTGATGGATCGTCTCAGTGATTGAATCTCACATTTTATATTGAAAAATAGGGGATTCACAGACGGTGAAAAGTGGCAACTGATATAAAAAGATATTTACAAACTTTATTTTTTTATCCTTATTTTGATTTAAAAATTACCTTACATTTTAAGAAAAAATATAAAAAAATTAAAAATCATATGTTAAAATAAAAAATAAAATGTTAAAATAAAATAAATGTTCTGCTTGTTTCAATAGTATGAAGTTAGCTTCTATTAATTTGTTTATTTAACACCTAAAGTTTTCATTAATTATGTTCAAAGTTTACGTAATTAAAAGCAAACAATCCCAAAATAATAATAACCTACTGGCTCATATTAACTCTTGAGGGTAAAATGGAAACGCAATTACAACTTTGAACTTTACAATAGTTTTAAACGAGCGGCCGATTTAACATATAATACAAGTAGCTAATGCAATACACATATGACTATAATGGTTGGTTTCTAAGAACAAAATCGCGGTTTAAAACATATAATCATACCCCACATTATCTTAGACAAAAGAGAGATAAGAGTAATTTTTTTTTTACAATGATTATGGTCTCAAGAACCAACGATATATCACACAAAAGTGTGCTATAAGTACATTTATGTCAACACTAGCTGTTGCCCGCGACTCCGTATGCGCGGATTTAAAAAATAATAATAATTAGTAGCATATGCTATGCATATGCTATATGCTATGTAGAACATAGACTATGTTCTACATCTATGCCAAATTTCAGCTTGATCCATACAGTCGTTCTGGAGATATCTTGTAACAAAAATCCATCTATCCAACCAACCATTCGCTTTTATAATGTTAGTAGAAGTTTACCATCATTAAAAATATACATTTCGCTTAATTAATTAAACAACAATATAAATTTCTATTTTGTATTTCAATACACTTGTAATTATTCAGAAGTTTATTCATTCGACTGACTTCGAACTGAGTACAATCGTTAAAAAATCTCTAATGACACAAACTTTTACAATCGCAAAGAAATACTTTGTGAGCAGTTTTGTTACCTTTTGTGTCAGTCTCGCTGCAGACACAAAGCATTTTTCTTTCTAAGTCGTACCCCGATTTATTCAGTTGAACGGTGACAGTGAAAATGGCAATCATTTCTAAGGGTCCATAATTTTCTCTTTGCCGAAATTGTCTCCGAACCAATTTTGCGTCAAAAAAACGACGCATTTACTTATTACTTTCGCTTCTGCTTTGTTCAAACATCTGTTTACTTTAACGAAAGGTTTGAATAATAATAGTAAACTTGGTGCAGTCTATTTCTTTTATTAAGCATTCCTTTATTTCCATAATATTTACTGAAGTTCATAAAAATTCTGATTGGTCTCACTGGATGGAAAGATTTTTATAAAATGTTTGATATAAATTATTAGAACCCTAAGTTTAACATCAATGGATCTCTGTATCATAAAACTTTTAATTTTAATTCAAAGCCTGTCAATTTTAAATCGCTATAACTACAATAATAAAAAAAATACATTCGTTGTAAATTATTTCGTATAGTCGAACCCTAAGTACTTTTATGTTCCCAAACGCTCAAGTAATTGACCTGCTTTTATTGCACAATTTCCAACTGTTTATATTTTGTTGACCCAGTCAGCTACTGAGACATTAATTTAATGTATATATAAACATCCTGTACATCTCATCGGCTATTAAATATGATAGACATACGTGTATCATTACGAAAGTCTTGTCACAAACATACGGTCGACTAGAATATAGGTTACATCGTACAAGACTTTATTACACAAGTTTGTTTTTTATTATTGTTTTTTACGTCTTTTAAGTTTTACATCGTTACCCAGGTTCACTTCTTCAAAGTGAATGCTAGAAATATTCACGCAAAACCAAATGACTTGATTACAATTGTAAAAAAAAATGAGATGTTATAATATTAACAAGGTGTATATGTGTCTGTGTGTATACTGGTACGTAAGTCTAAAATGAAAATACATTTTAATAGAAATTCAATGATGTTCTCCGTCATTTGTTTTAGTATTATTTATAATAACACTGATTAATTTTAATTATTCAACTAAAGTTACAAATTAATTAACAGCACGATCAAATCAAATTACCGTAATTTTGAATCTAAATTGACACGTCAGTCGTCAGTTGATTTACATGCAATGTAACTAAATATACCTTAATTAACTGCGTTATTTCATGTTCTCTCATCACTAATCGTGATTGCTATAATTTGTTAACACGTCGACCCTACGTTATCAAGCGGGCAATCGGAGCTCCTCATTCATCTGGCCTAACCCCGTGTTGTCGCGATGACCTATTGAAATTTACAGGTTTTTACGTAATGACGGTAATATTTTAGAAGTAACAGTTTCCACCTAAAATGCTTGTATTAAACATATTGTCATCTCTTTCATTCTGTTTGAAAAAGAGAGATACACATAACATGTTTTTGTACAGGAATTTCAGCCGGAAAAACTCATGGGAATCTTTACTACATTTAGTACTTGGTAGAGATAAATTACGTATTAAACATACGAGAGTGTTTTAGTTGTATTTATAAAATAAAATAAAGAAAATTGTTTTAAACTTTAAACAAAAACTGTAATTTGCACAAGCTTTAACTTAATCGATTTCGCGGCAACAAAAAAGTAGGCAGTCATGAACATTGAATTTGTCGATTTAGTAAACGTTATCAAAAAACTCAGATAAAAAATTCAAATCAATATCGACAGGTTTGTATCGAAAATAAAAACAGAAACGAAATAATTTATTCTATTGGTTTATATTTTTAAACTGCCAGTGACAAGACTTACAAATTATTTTAAAATAAAATTGAATAGATTACCTTTTACGCGCAAATGAATAGTAAAATGAATTAATTTGGAAGACGACAATAATTTGCTCCAATGTTTCGGTTGTAGAAAATAACGGTTAATAAAAACTGTTATCAAAAATACGTTATGAAATTCGGTGCAGTTACAATTTTTATTAGACATATGAGGTAAATTGTTATAGTTTCTGTTATTGCTTATTTATATAAACTATTTTCCGTATATGAAATACAGAGAACTGTTAATGCGCAATAGAGTAGCGTGTTTGCTAAATAGCACATTAGTTGTTGGCATAAAACTAGAGAAAGCTAATAACTGAATGAGTGGAACGACTCGCGCAGAGAACTGTTACAAATAGATCGAGCGTAACAATGCTCATCTCTAGTTATCTCATTTGTGATGACCTGATTTTTACTGAATAGCAAGAAAATAAAAAATGTACAATTTATTCTGACAAAACAAAAAACTAGAAGTAATTATTATCATCGCTCATTTCGCGTTTCCTAATATTTCCTAAGCAATATTAGACAGAAAACATGTCATGATATCAAACTTCTAATAAATTCATTTTTTTAAGCCTTACTGCATTTAATTATAACACGTTAATATCTGTCTTAAGGTAGAGTCCTAAAAGCTACTTTTAACATAATCTGCCGACTTTATTTTAGTTAGGATAGTATTACGAAGACAGTGTAAACCGTATATTTCCTTTCTCTGCTAATTATTCGAAGGAAATTATAAATCAAGATATTAACAATGATAAAAGTGTATTCGAAAATTTCCATACAAGGCGTAGGGCGGATAGATGTATAGATTCGAGTAAGGAAGATAAAGCGGCGTGCACACGGTCTGCTATCAAATTGCCACTGCAGTAATCTGGTCGATCTACGCAGCGGGGTTTGGTTCACCGTGCGTGAACAGTGTTCCGCTTTGCTGAACTGCATCGACTTTTCCCACTGCTTTGCGGGATCTATATTTATTTATTTATTTATATTCGTAACGAGCCGTTGGACCCTTAACCGCTCCGTTGCGCCGCGACCAATTTAATTGGTGATTTTTCACTCATAATTTGTACACGTATACGTAGATACAGAGATATAGAATGAAATTAATATATTAAGATAAGTTATGATTAAAGAAAGAAAGAATGAGCATACTGGAAAAGAAATTACTCGGATTATTAAGGAGTTTAAACTTGTATTTAGTAAAATAGTGGTACAAAAACATTGCAAAGAAAAAAAAAACGTAAAGTTAAATTCTAATATGGATATTCTAATATAATTTTGTATAAAGACAGCAGAAGGATGAAATTTATCATACTTGCAGTATTAAGTCTGGCAATTACGAGCACAGATAATGATATAAAAGTAAAAAAGTAAGGCTAGGGCGTGGGTATGGGAGAGTTCACACGTGTTGATAACGGTATTAAGCCGACATCAGACGTGCCCTCCGTACGCATCGTGTGAAACGTACCTTACTTATATTTAAATTATAAAATAAATAATTAAAATTTAAATCTTTTAGAGAATTGAAATGTTTCATTCGTGCACTATTATAATATAATTTACTGAACACAAATTATTCCAAATAAAGTTATTACTGCCACTGATTTGAGTAAATATATGTGATTATTTTGATGACCGTAACAAAACGATTAGTTTGTCATTGAATTTGGGTATAAAATCAGTTTGAAAATGCGTTTTTTAATTTTAATCTTACGAATAAATTACAAATTGGTTTAAGCTTATGTTTAAAACTTCCAGCATAATTTCCCTTAAGGCTTAAGATTTCATTCAAGACACGTATTTATATAATTTTGCATAATAGTGCAGACTTCAATAACTACGGGAAGGAACTGATTCGTTCATGTATGGTCAGGTCTTCTGGATCGCGAGGTCGATTTATAAATGGCAATCGGCCATGAGACGGCAACCTGTTTGCCCCTTTACGATGTCAAGGGTAGCGTGATGAGGTGACTACGGAAATTTATGAGACAAGAGCGAAATTACTCGTATGCTGAATACGTCTTCGATCCGAAGTAGACAGCATGGCGCGGTAAATGTCACGCCGAATGAATGACAAGGCTCTTTATTTTATGGTTATCATAATACTGATCTCAGAGGCTGATAAATTGATTTAAGATGTTAAGGTTCGATTTCTATATGACATTGTAATATGTTTCAACGATAATGTAGCTAACTTAACTCTCTTTAATTCATCAGAAGCAACTGAGTTAGTCAGTGACGTAAATAGTTTGCAGGATTTCTTGTATGGGAGAATTATAGCATCATACTAGCATTACTAGCGTTGTAATTTGGTGTCCTAAACTTACCTTGCCTAAGAAGAACCGCCTGTAGTACTTGGCGGTATCATCAGTATCGATGTTATACCGGCGCGAGTTATGACGCGGCGTGCCGGGTTGCGCGCGCGCCTCGCTCTCCTCGCCATCAGGAGGAGTATCGTCCACCCCATCCACCCAGTACCCGCCGCTAGGCGGCAGAACTATGGTCGGCGGAGTTCCTATAAAAAACGATAGATTAAGCCTGGAAAAATGAATAACTACTAAATACAACATAGTACATATTATAAATAATCATAATGGGATCTACCTTATTGTCAGTCTAGAAGTATTACTGATATAATTTAGAAAGGCTGATATAACGGAAGATAAAAAACTGATGATGTCTCAACATGTGTGGGATATGGACGGGGAAAACATAATGATAACTATACGTATCAAACATAACAATTGTGCGTTGCTAAATTACGATTTTAACGTGATCAGATCTACAGTTATAACAAAGATGCAGTGTGACGAAACATGAAGGTTTCTTTTGTTATTAAAATAGTTTTACATCTTAAGGAAGTCACGGCAGCGATTACTTCGGTGTATGAATTAAACGGTTCGTGATCGACCCTACGTTAGATTTTTTTAACAAGGTTTTAGCCAGGAAAGCCCAATTCATAGCCCGCATATACAATTTTCACATAAAGAAAAGTAATAAACAAAGATAGTTATAGACAAGAGGAACTTAATACTAGTCGTGATAAACATTCTTTTTTGCAGCATCGGTTACATAAAATTGTATAATAAAATACTGGTATAAGTTTCCGTAACAATCAGAAACAAAGCAATGCACAACTTCACTGCAATTACCGCAAGAACACATCAAAAAGATATTAAGCAGTACCCCATCACGTCTGAGTACTATGTTGATATTGAAAATTAGTATTTTAGTAAAACAAAATAATATCAGTAAAAAAGCTTTTTTTATCTGATATATTGATTCATCATTTTGTTAATTTTATTAAAAAAATGGTAGAAAAAAACTATAGCAACCCACATTATTTTAAGTTTGAACACCCCCGATTAAAACTGTAGTTATTCGTGTAAAAATTAACAAATAAATATTCCTTAATCATGATTTACTCTTGGGTTAGTCAGGAATCTAATGAACGACCTTGGAGTCTATGGTTTAAACATGTAACACATATTTGGCACTGCCTGGTCCTAGACGTCTATTACAGTAGGTAGACTTATATTCTTATACTTTAAGAACATTGAATTAGTGGTAAAAATAACATATATAGTAAAAATAACTCGAAAGTGCAGAAATCAATAAATAGCAGGAACGATATTGCAATTGCGACATGTAAAATGCTATCCATAATTTTTCAAATGTAGCTCCAGGCTCCGTTTTTAGGTCAATAAGACACTGCATGTGGGAATTCCCTACGAGTCTTATATCATGAGTGTAAATGTCACCGACTCTTTATGAACTTCGACACTTTTTAATCAGACAAGCTGTCAACCACACAATTTTAAATATTTCTTCTCGACAGTTTCAAAACAATTGAACAACTTGAATGGAAGAAAAAATATGAATTAGGTTAGTTTGATATGACATGATTTAAAAATAACTAATAGAATTGTGATAAAAAAAGGATCGTTGCGTTAAGAACGATATGTTTGTATTGACTATCTAGTCAAATTACAAACTGTTGTAGTTTACAATCGTTCGGTGACATATTTATCTTCCTATGTATTATATAGGGAATAGATGTATGTAAGTTCTGTGAACGTAGTGCAACCTATTTCGTTATTAATTCAAAACCATCCTCTCCGTCTAGGGACTGTGATGTATTCGTGTCACTGAAACTTGGTCCGAATGAGTAATTTATTACAATTCTTGATGCAGTCTTTATTATTTGGTCCAGAAATGAAATATAAAATAATATTCCAATAAAAATATTAGTATCTGTTTTATACTGACCTGATAAAAGTAATTTATCGAATATAGAATTTATTTTTAAAGAGAAAAACAAGTCAAAGTATTCTATCGATCTACGTGTAACGTTAGCATTTGATGGCAAAACGGCAATGGGAATGAGGTTAAGTCCTTTGTCCATTTTAAGCGGCATTTAATTTGAAACATGGCGCCATAGTCTAGACTGGCTTTGTGGACATATTTTTACAGGGCTTTTCAATGCTCTTGTGTCCTGCGGCATTGTTCCGCCTTCCTGCAGCCTCTCATAAAGCCTGCGCTGGGTTTGTATACAAACCTTTCATATTAGCCGGACACTAGGTACTTTCATGAAGGCTTTAACATTGATCAAACATTTTACATATTACAGGACGTAATTATGCACTTAATATAATATTAATATGTGAGACATATATTATGTAGGGTTGCCAAGTAAAATTGGCGACGGACAGGCGGTCGGCTGTAAAAAATTAGGCCAAAACATTACGTTTTATAAAACCTTGTGCGCTGCCCTAGGTGAATAGAAATATGACGTCAGACATATTTTTATGATAGGTATTGAACGTAACTAAAAGTGGCTTTAATTTCATTTAGCATTATTATTGAATTTCATTGGGGCCTTTGATCTTCACACATGGTCTTTCATACACGAAAGTGAACTAAATTGGAAGTAAATTCTAAACATGTAATGTGTAAAAATAAAACTGGATAAAAATAACACACGGGGAAAGCGCATCACTAGTATTCATAACGATCTCGGTAACTCATGATTCGAAGTCGCATGGGGAATGTGATTTCCCAAGATATACTCGTAGCCAGCGCTCGCCCGCCGTCTAATTTAATTAATGCTTTAATCAACTAACTAGCACTGAGGCGTGCGATGTTTTTACTTGGCTAAGTTGATACTAAGTACGCTCTGAGTAGCGGACCGCAAGACAAAAGAACAAAAAAAAATGTGCAGCAAAAACATGACAGTGTTTGCTTTACAATCTTGTGGCTTAGTTAATGTCACGTTATTTTTAATTAGTATAAAATGAAGAGAAGAATCAAGTATACAGTTTAACACAATATTTTCATTACAATGAAATCTTTTAAATAATCTCATTCAGTATAGATTTCTTGAATTTTGAACTAACAGGAAAGGTTATTACTTAGAACGTTAGATAAGAGTAGTTAGACAGGAGTAATAAAGAATAATATCTAAGAAATAATTTATCTTTTCAAATGGTATTAATCTAAAGGAAAGAGAATGCACTTTCACACCTCTGAGCATTTCTTTTGCTTTCTCGACAACAAATGGTGCACAACAAAAGCCATTTCAGACACAACACATTAGTAGAGCCGACGATTATGGATTACGTTGACGCTTTCTTCAGTAATATTATTTCGTAATGTAGAAGCAATTTATTTTCTAGATTCTGTACTTTATTTCACATCCTTCTTTATATTTGCTTAAATCTTTCCACTAAGGTCCATCTCATGCTGTTCACTTATTGTTCGTCAGGATTGTGTAGTGCCTAAGTTGATGTACTAACCTGGCTTAGCAAGGGTCTCCTCCAGGAGTTTCCTGCTTGCCTGGCACGCGGCCTCGACCCTGCGCTGTGCAGCCGCCGCGCCAGGTGAGGGCGGAGGGCCGTGCGGCGCGGGGACTCTGCCCTCGGCATAAGAATGTCTTTCCACATTGCCGCCCACTGACACCGAGCGACGATTCTCCGGTCTCGACACCTGGTGACAAAATGTTACATTAATGTCTCATTTATGATTAAACCTTTGAAAATACTACAGATTAAATTGCTAGTTTAAGCATGACAGTTTTTAAAATCAGAATGCAATGAGTGCTTTTTATAAAAAGGCGTGCCCCTATAGTTAATTTTAAATGTATTTCGGTATGATGGACTAACGACTTAAATAGTTTTTTATTTGCCAAATTTATATTATTATATGGAGATATAAAGCCTTTAACTCAAAAATGAAATTAAAAAGTTATTTATCTAATTTATAACCGGTTATAACAAGTTCAAATAAGGTTATAAAATATATAAATCTTTTAACCGCAGTATTTTAAACGGCAGGTGTAATAAAATCCTTTGAAAACACCTCGCCTTTGACAGTCTATTGCCTTACGGTCATATTTACTGCTTAATTCGCTTAATGAAAATTCCTTAAAAGTCGTATTTTAAATGACCCTTCGTACTTTACAGGTTCGCTTGAGAATATTCAAGTGTACGGCCTTGACGGAGCTTCTACAAGCTTTATGGCTCAGACTTAACTTGAAATAAAAGAATAAATACATAAGAAGATTAAACTGTCTGCTCAGTTGAAGGCCTTACGTGTTTTGCTTCTAGACATTTGTAATGAAATTCCGAACAAATGCGGTGCGTAGGTAAGTTTGAGAAATAAAAACCAGATAATACTTATAAGTAAACTACTAAGTACTTAATGTTTGTTTTATTTTTTCATTATTTTCGTATATTTAGGACTTCTCGAGTAGATTGATCATCTCGTCGATTAAATTACTACACTAACAGTAACACAAAATAAAGGCCGTTCCTTAGTAGACGTGAATTTGTTAAGTTTGATATTTTATTACCTTTGAGAAAAAAGAACAACTGTGTAAAACAGGAAATTGTGTACAATGTTTATTAATAAAATGAAGTGCTAATTCCACAGAGTATTGAACTCGCTTCTTGAGAATTCATCATTGTTGTTACTTAAACATCATTAGCATAAAATGTCTAACGGTAAGTATCCTCTTCAACTCTATTTTTTCAAATATAATGAAGTCGTATATTTCGGTCCGTTATTCTGTGCAATAGTTCACCTGACAAGGGAAATTGTGATGCTCGGCTCATCCGTGAAATTGACGGAATTGATACCAGAAAATCGACCGCTCCATAAATCTACGGCGCGGTCGTAAACACCATCAAAAGTTTAAAATTGGAAGCCGACGGAAGCATTAGCCGGGCCGTTGACAGCGACTCGAAACAAGTAGCGTGGAAAACGATCGAGTTTTCACTTTGATCAAATTAATGTGACGTCACGGACTTCGTGTTTATTTCACATATATACCCACGATTAATGTCCATGCGTATAACATATAAGTGTTATATTCCAAAAGTAAACATTCCTTCGATATATATCAATCAAGAATTAACATATTTCAAATCAATCGTTCTATCTTTAAAATAACTATTATGAAAACATATTTTGCAAATATTTATGATGAGTAAACAGAAGTTTTACATAAATAGATTTACATGGAACCAGCCAAAAAGTTTGACAAAAATTGATATATAAACACGGCTACTCTCACGTATATTCGTCTAATTATAATTCTAACGTATAATTTAGTCGTGTTTATATAAGAGTTTAGTATAATGTCTCACGAAAGTTTGAATAATTTGACAAAAATAACAATTCAACAACATATTTTCCCAATGACATTATAAAGATGCTAAGTCTAACATAAGAATAACATTATTGTAAAATGGAACGTGTAGAATAAAGCTAATAATATGTTTTTTAGTTTAGTTTTAAATTAAGAATTCTTTTGATGATTCGCGGAAGTTTTAAGCATTTCCTTGTAGTTTATGAAGAGCTCAAGATCTTTTCATCTATGTTAAAACACGAATTCTTTAAAAACTTCCGTTCCCGATAAACAATAACCTTGTATAGTTGACTGCAATTTCACGAGATTTTTACCATGAAATCGATACTTTTTAACCGATGCTGAAAAGTCTGAGAGCATCCACCTTAATTTGTTTTAAATCGAATTATACAAGAGACATGGGACATCGCACTTGAACGTGTAATTTTTAAATTACGTTAAAGTTTGTGGATATATCCGTACGTACTCTGTTAAAAATCACATAAAATAAGCAATTTTTCAATGAAATAGCAGTCATGTATAGAATGCAATTAGAAAACGTGAGTCATTTCGAAACGGTGTTGAAAATACTGAAATAAAAACGGACAATATAATTAAAGCGATTAATTATTGCATATTGCCTTAATTACGTGGATTTTACGAATCATATACGTTTGTGCAGATTTTTGCAGCTTATAAAGCAATTGTTTACGATTTAAATCTAAATTAGGAATTCCTCGTATTACTACATATTATCGGACTTTCGAACATGATCCAAATACTACAATAAATATTAAAATTAAAAGATCTAATTATAATTTAAAATACGTTTCGAATTATTTCAATCGAGCTTCTGTTTATTTTCTTAATGTAAAGTAAAATTAATTTAAATAAAACAATGATTACTACACACTTATAAAATAAATCTATTTTTATGGCCACCTCTTTTTATAACTTTAACGGTATCTGTATAATGTTTCAAGTAACACATGCTTATAAAGGTAGTTAAAAATAATCGTTCATCTAATTCAAAGTGTTTTGTCTGACTTCTGTTCGATGTCTATATTTGGTAGCTATTTGTATAACATATATACTTCTATGATAGGTTTTATTACATATCAAAATTACCATAATTTTCAAAAACGTTTTCAGTGCATTTCTTTTATTTCATTCATAACATCCTATATGTTATCATATATGCATTAATTGTAAAGAAAATAATTTTATATAAGTATTTATCGTAGACACATTCTAATGATGAATCTAAACGAAGGTAACCAATTTTAATATTAATTATCAATTATAATTTTTCTTAAATAACCATTAATAAATTCTGATTACGATTTTGCTTACATTTTAAGTGGTACATTTTTAAGGAGCTTGACCGAAAAAAATAAAGATCAAAAGTGAGAAATCGATGCATCTAAAATATCAAGCGATGTTCAAATCAAACGTGGAAGCAATATTTGTTGCAGGAAGCGAAGCGACGCCGTCGACCGATGATTGGTTTGTGATGGAGAGTAAATTGCTTCGATGCGGCCCGCGACGCTCACACCGCCACCTAGACGGCCTGACTTAAAATTTTATTGAAAACATTGGACCCCGTAATATATTGCCCTTGCATTTAGAGTGGAGAAACATAAGAATACTTATGTTTAAAGCTAACTGAAGAGAACATACAAAAGTTATCAGTATTTGAAGAATATATATAAGTTACCTTTCTTTTTCAAATTATTGCGTAAAACGAATCATTTGATTTCATCAGAGACACCGAATTTATAAATGATTAATATTGTCATAATATAGGATTGTTATAAATAAAATAAAGTAATCAACTTTGACAAAGTTTACGCATTGAATGTACTAGGAATACAGGAAGAGTCCACACTAGATGGTGCGACGACCCGTCTCATTATGCAAAAAGGCAACGGATGCAGATGTCTTAGAATCGTACTTTGTTGCAATGCTTCACTGTCTTACGATAATGTTAAAGGATGTCTTTATAGTAATAAAACTTTAGAAATCTACTTTTATTGATAAAATTTTAAATAATTAACATTTGAAAAACCGTAGTGAAATCATTTAATATTCCATCACTTACTTTTAGCATACAATGCATGTTCGGAAACTAGATAAAAACAATATTTTGTATTACAGTATTTTTTATCAATCAATGAACCAAAGTCCTTTAATTTATAAAACTGTTAGCATGCAAGACACAATCGCAGTCCGGCGCACGTGTCCGCAGTAAATAAAGCTAAGCTCCACATTATCTAATTACAAACACCCGATAAGAGATAAGCTTTATTTTATTCGCTTTCCTAACATCGCACTTTTGTAAACCTGATATAAGTTCGAGTAAGTCTGTGTAACACACAGAAGGGTTTACGACTAAGTAAATAAATTCAGATTAACTAAATTCAAAACAACGTTGTACCTTACTATAAACAAATTAGATTAACTTGTTCTTGACCTTGTTGACCAAAAAATATAGAAATGCTTATACCGAAACTAGCATGGTGATACATTTTTATGGTTGTGGTGCCTTTGATGTCCCTAATTTCCTTCACTGGCGTTCAAAGGGTTAGAACACATATTTAACTAAATAATGACTATCTATACTTTTTAGGTTAAAACAGGTAAAGTTTAAATTACAATATATTGTGGCAAATGTAGTAATTTAAGAAAAATCAAATATAATATTACTTTTAATGTGAGAAGTATGAAAATAGCAACTGACATCTGTCAGGACTCATCATGAGACCGTAACGAACCCTTCGTATTTACAACCTCTTCTAAACTAGGTCGATGACGTTAGAATGTAATTAAATTTTGAAAATGGAACTCGAGCGTGTTCCATAGATAAAGTGTATTACACAAACAATCGTTACCAGAAACCACTAGAAGTTCCTCAAAAGAGGTATCTTCAATAGAGGTTCGTGTTGATTAGGTGAAGGGAGTGTGCACATTCTGCTATTGTTCGGGCGTCAGATATAACGATATTGCTACACCATTTACCCGCTACAAAGATAAAGGAGTACGGAGTGTCTAATGTCTCAAACAAAACATTATTTAAATATCCCACATTTAAGGGTGTTAATGTAGGATTAACGGAGTTGTACCAGCTCATAATACAAAGTGGAAACATAGACTCATGACAAAGGATTCAAAGAACAACAAAATTTGCAAATTTTGTTGTTAGTTTTTATATTTTGCAATTACAAAATTAAAATTTTGTTTCAACATAGGCGTAAATGTTGATCTCGAAATCTAGACACTGCAATGCGCCACATCTTTATAAAGAAGACTGTTTTCTATGCAAGCTCATAAGCCAAGGCCAGAAAAGATTTAATTATTT